TGTGTGTGTGTGTGTGTGTGTGTGTGTGTGTGTGTGTGTGTGTGTGTGTGTGTGTGTGTGTGTGTGTGTGTGGACACACGTGCGCAGATGTACAGTGGATGTTTTGTTCGAACATATAGCTCACCATTCTTTGTGCTCTTGTAAAACCCACATCTTTTATATATTTTATTTTTGCTTGTGGTGTTGCACCTGTTCTACTTAGCATCAGGGATACATAAATAAATACCTCATTGCCCCCATAGTTCACATATTTACACACACTCGCCCTACATTCATTTCTATTTTTATTCAGGAGGGGGTTCTGTAGGATTTCCAAGTTTACTTAGAGTTACATTAGAAGATCAGGAGCCACATAATGATTTATTTAACATGGCTCACCCTTATGCAGGGTCATGTAGTCCTGAGACTGATGCTGCAGCTTCTTGATGGTAGTTAGTGTCCTATTGATCTCTTCTAGTGTGAGGATCCTTAGAGGACACACTAACCTGTTTCTACTTGGCTTTCAGTTGATGTGCGTGTTTCTCTGGCCTTTGTGTACAGTAGCATACTATGTAGGGTTGAGAATCTTTGGGCACCTCACAAACCAATCTAACTGCAGCGTAGGCTGCTGTGGTGTAATTATAAAATCATAATTTATTCATTTGGATTATCTCAAAACCTAAATGAATATGGGCTATTACAATTTTTGTGCCTTATAAAGAAAACACACAAACATGTATAAAAAATTAACATTGCTGCAATAACCAAGAAGAGTCAAACCTCCAGTACCCCAGAGCTGATTCTCAGGGGCCCTGCTAAGAAGCTATTGGAGGCAAATGCCCTTTAAGCTACATTACAGCTCCTGGCTGCCCATATGGCCTTCAGTGATAACAGTACCACAAAAATGATGCTTATATTTTTCCTCTCTTTTAAAAATAAAAAATATAAAAGACAAAGACCTTATAGTGGCTATAAACACTTGAACCAAATTGCTCCTCCTGGCTAAAATGCAGTAATCTGTTTACTTTGCGAAAATGTTGTAGCATCTGAAGCTTAGTTTGCATTTCTTTGATATTCACTCGTATTTGTGCATTTGTTTGTCAAATAACGGTTGTGTTTGTGTCTGTGCAGATTACAACAGTGGACAGATTCCAGGGTCAGCAGAATGACTACATCATCCTCTCGCTGGTTCGAACCAAAGCTGTGGGACATCTGAGGTGATTATTTCAGTGCCTACAAAGCAGGAAACTGCACCTGATACAAACTAGCTCCAAGCTCCCAGCTGGTATTACTTGTGTAATAGGGACTATATCTAAGATAAACATCCTCAAGAGAAACAACACCGCAGAAAAGCTCAACTCCCCTGAGACAGCTTCTCTCAGAAGACATTTTGTTTTCTTCAGATAAATTTTAACAGTATAAGCAGCACTGCTGAGTTGCTGAGCTGTAGACACAAGAAGGATAAATGGGTTTCAGGACAGAAGCGTGTCAGTTCTGGGCCTGAGATTAACAAGAAGCTCAGCTTGTGATCAAAGGCAAACTTTGTAGATAACCAACTGAGGAAACTCAGTAGATTTTATGTCTCTACACTTTGTCCAACTGCTTTTCAACCTTAAAGGGATCCATGATTAGTTGTAACATTAGATATTTGATAAACATTATTTGATAAACATGTATTTTAACTGTAAAATAAAGACTGTAAAAATACTGCACGCTGTTTAATAGTTTTTATAATTTTTAAACTAAAAGTTTAAAAACATATTACGTGGATGGGGCCATTGTATTTACACACAAAGCATTCTGGGTAAATGATGACGTGGAAAGGTCCTCAGTGTGAGCGAGCTATATCCACCCTGAAGTTTAATCTTGGACAATATCTGATGATCGACTCTTTTAAATGAAACCAGAGAGTGTTGACAGAGAGGAGAAGGCAGAAATGACTCAGCCTGTAACTGAAAATATGGATGGAGGACAACAGAGCTGCTATATGGAAGAAGAACCTCAGCTTAGCCTGTTAGCCTTAGCGTTAGCCCCAATGGTATCACCATATAAATGTACCGTATTAGCTCAGCGCTACACATTCTCCTCTCGTCACTGAGGTCCTCTGTCGACATGACAGAGAGGGGAACGCAAAAATGACTCAGCCTGCAACTGAAAATATAGATGGAGGACCTCAGTTTAGCTTGTTTGTCACGCTAGCACCAAGCTAATACATATAAGGCAATATAGCGTTGGTGCTAGCACAAAGACTAACAGGCTAAGCTGAGGTTCTTCTTCCATGAAGCAGCTCTGTTGTCCTCCATCCATATTTTCAGTTACAGACTGAGTCATTTCTCTCTGTCAACTCTCTGGTTTCATTTAAAAGAGTCGATCATCAGATATTGTCCAAGATTAACCTTCAGGGTGGTTATAGCTCGCTAGCAGCCTCACACCGAGGACCTATCCACGTCATCATCTACCCAGAATTCTTTGTGTGTAAATAAAATGGGTCCGTCCGTGTTAAAATATATTTTTAAAAATTTACAAAACTAAACAGCCTACAGTATTTTTACAGTCTTTATTTTACATTTAAAATAAATGTTTATCAAATAAAGTTTAATGTTACAACTAATCGTGTGTCCCTTTAAATATCCTTCATTTTACACTTCAGCTCTGTCTCGTTATTTCACAACTCTTTCTGCTCCCTTTTCTTTCCTTGTTCCACTCAACTGCTTTGTGGTCAAATAGCATTTTCACTTCACAGCTGCCTTGAACTCTCAAAGAGCTCTTTGCACTTTATGTCAACAGAGAGTTGATGCTGAGCTCATCAGCAGCACTTCAGTGTGACATGTTGGCTGGTGCTGTACAATAACAGCAGTTGGAAACACACGACTCAGCTTTATTACAGCAATGGACAGCTCACAAATTGGAACTCTTGTTAAGTGTAGACATTCCCTTCAGCATGGGCACAAACATGGTACCATCTAATATTATTTTTATTATTCTTATTATTCTTAACTGCAAGTTCCTAGTCTGTGAATGTTCACTGACAATGGCAATAAAACTGATTCTGATTATTGTGTGGCTCTTAGTCCTATTTCCAGCTACATGTCACATCTAGAAATAAGTCACCAAAAGTGGCGTTGACATTTTTTTTGAATGTTCCTCTTATTTTTTTTCCTTTTTTTTTTCCATCATTCATTCATATTTTTTCATCCTGCTTGAATCCTATTTTCTGTGTTCCGTTATAAACCGGTGTGCCCATCTACTCTTCTGGATTTATTACGATTTTGTTTTTATTTAACCTGAAATGACCTTTTCAGCTGCAACATACATGTATCTTCTTCCAGGGATTCTTGAACAAACACAATGTCCAAGCCCAGAAAACCAAGTTTTCTGTCGGCTTCATACAAAACATGATTTTTTGTATTTTTTTTTTTTTTGCAACGATACAATGTGTTTTTGTTTTTTATGTTTCTTGTAAGAATATTTGAATCAAAATGTAATGAACATTTTCCTTTTGAAAGTTTTGTTTGGCCAGACTGCATGACCTCATCACATTTTATTAGGTGTTAAGATATGAAATGAAGTTGTTTTTTGTTTTTACTTCATTTTTGATTTTCACTCCCTTTGCTAATTAAATTCTGCACTTTAAGCTGTTTGAAACTTAACAGTGATAAGAGTTGAAACAGTAGTTGTAGATCATAAAAAATGTATTAAAGTAAAATAATCACCTACAAAGATGAGGAGTATAAGGACCTTTATGATCTTTCCCGTTATCTGCCTTTGTCAGCTGTTGTGTTGCGCAATAGTTGATTGTTTGCTGCTTTTGAATCCTCATGTGTGCTGATTGCACACAGCATGAATGCTGTCCCAGCATTGTGTCATATTTGGCCTTCTACACATCTATGCATTGCTAAGTACATGCCCCAAAACATCATACTTCTACTTTTAATATGAATAAAGGTCACATTTTTATAGTTTTAAGATTTGTTCATATGCTGAAGGAACTGATGATTCGGCACCTTTTGTGCTGTTTATTGTATGTTTCCTCATGCTGTGATCCCTGTGGTCTGGCACTGACTTAGCCCTTACAAACCCCTGCTTCCCCTGGTCCCACTTCTCTCCTTGTGGCAGTGTGCTGCTCTGACAACCACAAGGGACGCAGCTCCCCATATGATGAGCTGACCCTTGCTTTGACAGAAAAGGCATTCYCACTGATGCACACTGGCACGCTCACATACAGGATCACACGCTTTGACAGGGAAGCTCAGATCCAGACCAGCTCTGACATGTACACATCCAGATCTACACACACACACACCACACAGAGAAATCTCCACTCTGCCCCATTATTTCACAGCACAGCTCAGGTGGGCGTCCCTCAGGGGTGCCATGTCCACAGGGGATCCAGCTTTGATTAATTTATGTCCTCCACAGCTACGAGTTCATTGACATTGGTTCTTGTTTGGTTTCTTTGCAGAAATGTTTATTTTCCAACTTGTGCTTTGCACTGTTTTGTCTTAAACATGCTTACATTTTGCCATTAATCTTCACAGTAAGCTTCTCAGGTTCATCTGCAGTGTTTCTTCTTGCATATTCATGAAACTCATCATGCATATTGGAAGGTTTAAGCCTGCTAATCTCTTGGTTTTCAGGTGGACGTTATATACAACATTTTTGACTTCATTTCAGTATCTGAAATGTGAAGTTATGTATTTGCATATCCCACATTTTTGTTTATTGTTCTGTGTCTTACTGCTGCTTGAGTAAATAGGCTTGTTTTGCAGGTTGTAAATTGTATACATCATGATTTAACTTRGAAAAACAGGTGTGAATCTTTTGTCAGCATGGTTATTTGTGCAGTTTTTAGTTTGCCATGTCCTCGCTTTTACTGCTTTCTGTTTTGTTGTGTAAAGAAATATAGAGATTATGTGTTGCATTCCTGAACAGCTGAGTAAAGAAAAACAAACATTTCTGTTAGAACAAGCCTAGCAGAATTCTTCCTTTTCTCATTGAAATACTATTTTCTCTTTAAATCTCTTAATTCTCTTAGAAGGTGGGAAAAAATAACCCATTTCTGCTCTTACCTCTTCTCTCCCACTTCTGCCTCTTTTTCCTTCTTTGCCCTTTACCTTCCATTTCTTTATTTCTCTGAGCTTTCATATTTGTCCTGCTTATCCCTCTTTAAACCTTCTGTCCTCCTACACTACACTTCCTTTCTCCTTTTCATGTTTACTTTATCCTTTCACCGTGATTCCACTTTTTGTTTTTGCCCCTACACCGGATTTCTTCTCTTTTCAGATTTCACAGCTTCCATCTCTTCCCACTCAAGTCTCTTTGAATCCCCCCCTCGCTTGTGTCAAACCGATTCTGACCTTTTTTTTTTTCTTCTCCTTCACAGGGATGTGAGGCGTCTAGTTGTAGCCATGTCAAGAGCCAGACTGGGTTTGTACATCTTTGCTCGGGTGGCACTGTTCCAGAACTGCTTCGAGCTGACTCCTGCCTTCAACCAGCTCACTGCCAGACCTCTGCAGCTCCACATTCGTCCACATGAGTACTACAACCAGGAACAAGCTGTACGTGGACACAAACACATTTATGAGCTGTCAGAGTACCACAATTCCAAATAGTCCTCCTCAGTATTCCACCCCAGCTTCTAACCATGTCTGATCCTACAGTTTTATTTTRAAAAGGATTGAATTTCTCAGTTTTACTTCATGTACACAAACAGAGCCTGATTTGTTAGATGCATTCTCTACAGGTCTTTYCAAGTACGAGAAACAAAAGCCCGACTATTATTAACCTGAGTGATTTAAAGGCACATCCTTTCTCCCACTCCAGCCTGAYGTGGCTTCTGTCTGGTCATTGGATTGTGGCAACAGGAGGGTCTAAAACACCCCACAGCCTCTGACAGTTCCTCTGTCTCTGGATTRCTCAGCCCCACAAGGGACAGCTCCTTTGGGCACACACATGCGTCCCCCTGCTTAGCTTTTCTACCTAKTCAGTAAAAGTTAGCTGGCAACATGCAGAATAAAAGGAAGTTTAATTTTGACACTTGAACAGAACCTTTATAAGTTTTCTGTGAAGTCACACTGCTCTGTCGAAATATGTGCAGTTTTTCAGAACTGTTGGTAGAATTGGGAACAAGTGTGTAGGATCAAATATTATACTGCAGAAAAACTATTAAGAGTTAAGTTGTAGAGTAGTAAAGCTTTCAGTCTCACTGACTGACATGAAGCCCACAGGGCTGCTGTGAGCCTCACTCTTATATTTATGAGGCAGCAGCCTGGCTGATAGAATATTCCTCTCTTATCACTCTTCAGTTTAGGCCGCAAGACTCTGTCTGCATACTAATAATATCAAATTACTGACTCGACATCCTGTATTTGATTAGTGTGAGAGTAGTGGAAGCTGCAGGGGAAAATGTGCTTACAAATAAGAAGCAGGTAGCAGCAGGCAGAGAATTTTTAATCTCAAACATTTTGCTTCTATTAATACTAACCCAGGTGGTGCTGAAATGACTGATCTCTTACAAGAAAGACAGAATTCTTAATTTTTTTCTTTTACATGAGTTTCTGATTATCTGCTGCTTGTTCTTTTCTTTCAGAGAGATGAACAGCCTGACCACGTTGTGAAGGACATGCCAGAGATGGCAAACTATGTCTACAGTATGTACATGCATATGATCCAGAGCTCACAGAAGTACAGACAGGTAAAGAAACGTTCACAAGGGTTTTCTGTTAACTTCTTCCGTAATAGAACTGTTGGATATTTTGTAGCTGATTGATTTTTAGATAGTCTGATATTTTATTTATACTTTGTGATTGGTTGTAATTGTTTAAACACTAAGAGAATCTATGTCTTTTTTTTATATGTGCCTCGCTCCAGCAGTGTAAACACAATGTTTTACATTTCAGGAATGTAGAACTTGTTTTAGGGGTACTTCCATGTTTAATATGACATATGAGGTATGACCAGGTTTTCTGTAAACATTGGGAGAACATGATTCTTGGCCATTTTGTTTTTAGGTTTCCAGAGTCAGGCTCGGAGTGAAATAAACAGTCAGCTGAGAACTTCTGCACACGACTTAGGCTTACCGTCTGAATGATTGCTTTGCAGAAACTACAAAAGCTTTGAAATATCTAAACTTCAGCATAATTACATTTTACATCAAACTAACAGAGACTGTCTGACAGTGGCCACCATTTCTGAAACATGCGAGTGTGTTAAATTAGAGGTTTTATATGTGACCCACCACATCGAAACGAGGATTACAGTAAGTCTAAAAGTGGTATATGGAGAAATAGGAAACTACACTCACCGGCCACTTTATTAGGTACACCACGCTAGTAACGGGTTGGACCCCCTTTTGCCTTCAGAACTGCCTCAATTCTTCGTGGCATAGATTCAACAAGGTGCTGGAAGCATTCCTCAGAGATTTTGGTCCATATTGACATGATGGCATCACACAGTTGCTGCAGATTTGTCGGCTGCACATCCATGATGTGAATCTCCCGTTCCACCACATCCCAAAGATGCTCTATTGGATTGAGATCTGGTGACTGTGGAGGCCATTTGAGTACAGTGAACTCATTGTCATGTTCAAGAAACCAGTCTGAGATGATTCCAGCTTTATGACATGGCGCATTATCCTGCTGAAAGTAGCCATCAGRTGTTGGGTACATTGTGGTCATAAAGGGATGGACATGGTCAGCAACAATACTCAGGTAGGCTGTGGCGTTGCAACGATGCTCAACTGGTGCCAAGGGGCCCAAAGAGTGCCAAGAAAAGATTCCCCACACCATGACACCACCASCACCAGCCTGAACCGTTGATACAAGGCAGGATGGATCCATGCTTTCATGTTGATGACGCCAAATTCTGACCCTACCATCCGAATGTCGCAGCASAAATCGAGACTCATCAGACCAGGCAACGTTTTTCCAATCTTCTCTTGTCCAATTTCGATGAGCTTGTGCAAATTGTAGCCTCAGTTTCCTGTTCTTAGCTGAAAGGAGTGGCACCCGGTGTGGTCTTCTGCTGCTGAAGCCCATCTGCCTCAAAGTTCGACGTACTGTGCGTTCAGAGATGCTCTTCTGCCTACCTTGGTTGTAACGGGTGGTTATTTGAGTCACTGTTGCCTTTCTATCAGCTCGGACCAGTCTGCCCATTCTCCTCTGACCTCTGGCATCAACAAGGCATTTCCGCCCACAGGACTGCCGCTCACTGGATGTTTTTTCTTTTTCGGACCATTCTCTGTAAACCCTAGAGATGGTTGTGCGTGAAAATCCCAGTAGATCAGCAGTTTCTGAAATACTCAGACCAGCCCTTCTGGCACCAACAACCATGCCACGTTCAAAGGCACTCAAATCACCTTTCTTCCCCATACTGATGCTCGGTTTGAACTGCAGGAGATTGTCTTGACCATGTCTACATGCCTAAATGCACTGAGTTGCCRCCATGTGATTGGCTGATTAGAAATTAAGTGTTAACGAGCAGTTGGACAGGTGTACCTAATAAAGTGGCCGGTGAGTGTATATTGTTTTGATATGAACACTTACAAAAATTGCATTTTGTCGAAATATAACAAATAAAAGCCTTATCAATGTATCATTTGAATGAACTGTGAAATATAATCATAAAAAAATTTTTTGAAGCACTTTTTTGAGCACTAACAAGAAAAAACTGATTTTGAGATTTTCCATGTGAGCTAGTAAAGTTTTTGTTTCTTTCCATCTTGTAAATCTCAGTATTTAAATACTATTTGAGATTTCCTTTTCATAAGGAAATGAAAAATTCCTAAAAACAATTACATAAAATTAGGATCCAGCCCAAATATTATTGTGTTATTTTAACCAACAAGACAAACTATCGCTGGTTCCATTTATATCAGGATGATCCAGGTATCAAATTGTGGCTTTCAAAGCCAGGAATCTGAAAATGTTACGAGGTCATTTTGACCAAATTTGACTTAATCCTCATTTCGATGTGATGGGTCACGTATTAAGTGTATATGTTATTATACAGGGTGAGTCAAAAGTCACAGGACATCCCTTTGTTTTGAGTCATTATGGTGGTTATGTTCTGGACCTAGCCTAAAAGAGAATTGCTGGGGTATTCACGTCATTTTCCGTTTTCTTTCTGAAATAAAAGCTGTGATTTTTGATTCGCCCTGTATATTCAATTGTCAATTTAACATTAATAAGGCACCCAGTAAACAAATGTACTTTTTTTCCCCTGGGGTAGGTTGGTTTACACAAGATAATCCAGTTAAACAGCACGTCAGATTTAAACCCCAGATGTTTGTGAAGTTGACAGAACACATTTTAAAAATAACATCTGTGAGAGACTGTTCAGTGTTAGATGAGACTGCATTACTTTTGTGTCTTTCTAATAATTGAGTGCTTCTTTCTGTGTAGTTTCAAAATGTTTCCTCCTCACGTTCAAATATTCTTTTTCCCTCTGGCTTCTCAGCAGCAGCAGAAACTGGCTCTGCCTCCACGACAAACTGAGGCTGCAGATGCCACAGCGGAGAAAGCACCMGATAGCTCTGAGGAACCAGAGAAAGAAACTCCCATGGAGCAGGAAAACCCAGGAGGGGAGACGAGCTCGGAGCCAAACACAGAAAACACCAGTGAGAGCGAAAACCAGGAGCCAGTCGACCACACAAAGATGCCAGAGCATCCAGGCAGAGACAGCGACAGTGATGAGGAGGACAACGGAGAGGAGCAATAGAGCAGCTTTTATCAGACTGTTATTAAGTGATGTCATTCATTTTGATTTTTTTCTACTCAATAGAAATCCTAAAAAGGTTTTTTTTTATAACATCTGATTATGATGATTAGTACTTTATTAAAAAAAATTAAAAAAAAACAGCTTCATGTTTTCTTATCTACTAGAGCTGATAACACACTTGGTGTCTGAAGTCACACAAAGCCTACAATCAACATGAAAAGGCTTTTTTGACATCTCTGTCATGCTACTCCCATTCATTCAGCTTCCTCTGGAGAAATCTTAACTCCAATCTGATTGGCTAAACCTATACCGGCAATATGAACCACAACTAAGCTGCATTTGTAGGTCAGTCACTTCACGCAAGAGCCAGTGTGCATGCTGGGGGATTTCAAGCTGCCCTCTGGAAGCACACCCACTCAACCAGCAACAATAAATCCTCAACCATTCATGTAGCAGCACTGACGCCTCCATGCACTGTGAAGCTGTGGACTTTTTCTTTTTGAGACAACATTTAAGAAACTAGACTTAGTGTTAACATCAAAAGGCATAAAGCTTAAAGTAGGTTGCGGTAATTTAAATGTAATTGAATTAATATTAAGAGGTTAACACAGTCCACAACCCTGCAGGCAAAAACACAGACTGGAAATTTATTCATTCTCGTGCACCAGAGGTTGGTGGTTGTTACATCATACCTCAGGCTGGTGGAGCAGGTCGGCTGCACAGCTGCTTGTGTCTGGGCCAGTTGAAAAGGCTGATAGAGACCCATATGTTGGTGTGTGTGTGTGGAGAGACGAAGCCACGAAATGTCTGCTTTTCCTTCATTTTGTCCAGAGTGCACCAGATAGAATATCACAGGAGGGTTTTGGACCAGTGGGTTCTCTGTCATCTGAGGAAAAGAGAAAGATCAGATTAGAGCGATTATCTTTGTCAGCTGCAACATCAAACACAAATTATAGATTTTTACTTAAAACCTTTAGGAATATTATAAATAAACTTGGCACAAAGGTACGTAAATTTGTGTTTGGTAAATCCTTTGTTGTAACGATGCTTCTTGGCAATAATCTTATACTGTTGGAAAACCTGTTAATTTCCCTTTTAAATAGTGCCACATTTGTAAGGAACATGCATTTGTGAGTTTGTGAGTAGAGCAGAGTGTCATGTAAATGATTTATAAAGTCTTTGTATCTTAATGAACATGCAAAAAAATGCTTTATGTCATCAAAATGGGGTTTAAATAGCTATCTACAACAGGTAAGATATTGTTTATAACCTCACACAATCCTACTTACTCATTTTATTAATTATGCATAATTTAAACTACAAATGAAAATGTCAACATTTGCACTGTGTATCAAAAACAGTCTCAGCACTATTCAACCACATTTTGTGACACCAACATACTTTTCTCTGAGTCACATGAACGCCTGCATTGTGCAGAACTTCCCTCTGTCAGGACTTCCACTTTAACTGTTGTCTGCCTGCTGGCCTCATGACCATTCAGCTGCTGGCGCTCCTTATTGGAGTAAATTAGAGCTAACTGGTGGGACGTGGCCACTGCTCATAACAAACATCAGCCCTGGATGTCTGGAGCAGGATCTGGGAGACTTTGGGACGAGTGAGAAGAAAAGCAGACGCTCACTTCCTCCAGAGGGTTTTTTTTTTCTACTGAAGGTGAACATGTCTTTTATACTCACAGGACAGGTATTGAAAGGCTGATTGTTGTTTTGGAAACATCTGATTTCTAACTTTGAGCAAAGCAGTTGGAGACTAACAGCATGCAATAAAACTGTGTGTGTGTGTGTGTGTGTGTGTGTGTGTGTGTGTGTGTGTGT